GTTGGCGATAGTAAAATACTAAAATATATCATTCATAAAAAATACGTGTAGGCACCTCTGAATAATATTACAACAGCTTTCATTTTGCCAAATTAACATCTACCTATCGCGGATAGAGAACTATAGACAAAGCTGGGAAGTTACCTAACCATTTTTTTTTTAACTAGTCTAAGTAAAAGTAATTCCGAAGTATATAAATGAAGTTGAATAGTTAAGTTACTAAATTAAGTTACACATTTTTAGGCAAATATTTACACGGTTTTGTTGAGTTTAAATTTTTCTCTTATATGTATGACCTATTTAAAATACATATTGCAATTAAAAAATGCTCATCTCGTTTAAACAATTTAAAAAAAAAAACGAATACACAGATAACTTACCTTTAAGTTTGATAGCAGGTCAATTAATTATTTACATCATGATATTAATGCTAACGACACAAAATTGGTTATGATGTCAGCATCACACAACACAAATTTACTAGGCATGTACGTACGTACTACGTTTCTATGACAGAGACAAGACAAGCGGATGCGGGCATCATACGTCCTCGTGTCCATCACCTATAAAAGCATGAGTTGTATATACAATAAACGGCATTGTTCCAATTAATCAATTAGTCGAATAGTGTTCTAACACATTTATGATTTCAGGCCGGGACGGTTTATTTTTAAAATATACTACTCTCGTTTAATAATATGGAATTTACTAATGCACAAGAACATGAACCGGTCACTGAACCGCGTCTATAATAACATTTTTATTAATTTTTATTTATATGAGTTAACGCCATTCGGCTTTTTTACAAACAAGATATATAATAGGACACATTATATGTATATAGATTAACATAATATAGTTAAATAATGATAGTAATAGAAAAGTAACAAAGTAGGTAACAATATAGAATTATACAAACATTAATGTGGCCTTGGCACTAGAGATTTACAATTATTGGTAATAGACATCGTTCTTATGATTGGGGAATTTTTAGCAAAATTTGTTTTGCATACTGTAAAAATAATCTTGTGACCTAGTATTGCCTGGAACACAAATGCATAGTCGTTCTATTAGACGGGGGGCTGCGTCAATGAGCCCTTCTAATAATTTGGTAGTAAAGTCAATACACAATTTAATACTGATAGTGGTTCAAGTTTGACTAGTTTGAGTATTGCATTAATAGGCCCATAATCGTGCGGAGGGTGAGTAATGTTAAGACGGCGACCTGCGAAGCCAAGAAAACGGTTTTTGACCATATCAAGTCGTAGAATATCTCTTTTGGTATGTGAGGACCAAACAATCGAGCCATATTCAAGTAAGGACCTGACTAGCGAGTTATATTTTCTTGGAGCTAAAGTTCTGGCAGTGGCGCCTAATAAACGGAGTGCCTTGCTGCGATGAAATCGATATGTGGTCGAAAATCTAGCGAGAGGACATAAAGAAAGCCTAACACTTTTATTTTGTCTACTCGCAAAAGAAGCTGACCGTCTAGACAGTAGGCAAAATTAAGGACATTCCGCCTACGATAGAAGGACATTTACTGTTCCAATTAATCAATTAGTCGAATAGTAATAGAACAATTAACACATCTATGATTTCAGGCCGGGACGGTTTATTTTTAAAATTTACTATTCTCGTTTAATATTAATATTAAATATTTAATATTTAATACACTTTACTAATGCACAAGAACATGAACCGGTCACTGAACAGCTTCTATAAAAATAAATTATTAAAGTTAAGTATAAAATATGTACAGTCGTAAATGAACACGTGAAAATTAACTTTCTACACCACTGTAATCATGGCCGTCCTTAGGGGGATCAGGAATGTCCTCGTGCTTTTTACTTAGATAAATTATACAAGTACAAATTAGGTACCAAAATATGCGCTTAAAAATTTCAACTTGTAATAATTTTGACATTTTCATCAAAATATATTTTAAGAAAACTATTTTTATTTTAAACCCACACTATATTTTATCATATTTTAATAGTTGAGAGAACATCATAGTTTAAATTAACAATAGGTTGACGAAAAAAATACATTATTTGCTTCTATATGTTTTTGGTAAATTTATTTTGATGTTTATTTATTTATAATTTGACGCGACTGGCCCTTTTACAGTATAGAATGTGGTTAGAATGTTAGTATATAATAATATTAATTAAACACACTTTTGTATTATTTATGTAGGTACCTACTTAGTACGTAAGTAATAATAGGTTTGTTTGAAAATGCATTTCTTGCATATTTTAGAATAATGATATTTTTATAATTCAATATTTATTTAAATTAATATTTTACAATAATATAAATTATAATATACCTAGCGCATAAGTGCATATTTATCTAACCGTTTTTGATTGCAATAAATTCCAGTTATAACTAATAATATAATGGAAATTCACAATAATTAATCATTATTTTCTAAAATCTTAACTTACCCAAAAATTATTTTCTTAAAAAGAAAACCATCATTCTAAAACTATTAGCTTTAAAATTACCAACTTTTCCTTATAACAAATACCTCAAGTTTAAAGTTAAATAAAAAAATGAATTAGGTGTTTTCGTACACCAGATTGGATTTTGATTATTAGACTGCATACAAAATGTGCAAATCATGTTATCAGGTGTCTCAAAGACACTATACACAGTACTGTGGAAAAAGGTTAGCAACAGGGTCAATCGGAAAGGGCGCAGAAATGTATAGAGTGCAAGTTTCTTATGGGAAAATTATAAAGAATTAACCTTTTGTTTGAATAATGTATGTAAATAAAATATTTATATAATATTTATGAACGATTCTAAAAGGTATTTAATATTTATATATTAGATAGTATATTGTTTTGCTAATTAATGCACAATGAAGGCTAGCAATGGCAGGTTTATACCACTATAATATTGTCTTCAAAACATTTGAACTAAATTCAATTTTATATATTTTATAAAAATAATTTATTATTTGAATAATAAAAAAATATTATCAAAACACTTTTCAAGATACTCAAAATGTTGGACGTTGAAAATAAAATTAGAATATAATATAACTCATCTGGTCAGCAGTGATTCCAGCTTGTAATCTACAATATATATTTAACTAATGAAAAAAGTAATGATCAATAATAATTAATACCACATAGTGGAGCGCACTGGAGAGTTCAAGGGTAGCAGCTGCTGCCCCTGATTTTTTTGGTAGGTGGGTGGGTGGACCCCCTGGTTCCAAAATATTTACATCATAAAAATTCTACTACGTTTAAAAATATTTAAAATAAACTATTGAATAATTATAGGCTATAGTCATTAGCCTATTAGAAAATATAGAGGTAACCGATTCAATATGGTACCCCTATTTATTTTTGAGTGTGCGCCACTGATACCACACATATTTTAAACAATTAATACAAAATTATTATTTAATATTTATCAATCAAAAACTTTATTGAAATCAATAGTATGAGTACATATTAAAATAACATAAGTATGTTATAAAAATTATTCTATTCATGTCAACTTGACACATAAAATGTTCATAATAAATCATTCAAATACAATATTTAATTGTTGGTCAAATTGAATGTTTGGATAACATAATTTTTTTTTGTTTTGCTGTTAGAGCATTTTTATCTTATGGGTATTTATCCTATATTTTATATAAAAATCAACTCAACGCTGAATTACTAATCATAATTTTATCAAAATTATTTTCAATGTAAACAAACATTTTTTCTCCATAGATTAATATTATTTTGGTTGCTAACACAAAACAATAAATTACTAATAATTCGAGATACATAGTTGTATTAATCATAAACAGAAGTTAAGCAAAAATATTTGTTATAACTTATAATCTAACATTTTTTAATTTCCAATTCTATATGTTTCACATAACTAACTTCATAGTTTCATACAGAGAATTCAATAAATAATAAAATTATATTGAATTTTAAATGTGCGCTAATAAGCACGAATACAAGTTTAAAATTGTGTATGTATCAACATTTAATGACTGTATAAATACTTTTATTTGAATTAAACATTTTATATTATAAAAAGTGTCTTTTATAATTTTAATTATAATATATATAAATATTTATTAAAACATTGTTCATATCTAAATATGTTGAATGGTATTATAGTCGTGTAAAGTACTTATGATGATAAACTTTCAAATAAAAAACAAAATGTTCAATAAATGAAAAAATTCTACATGAAACTGATATCTATTTATAACAATAAAAAAATTAACAATTAAGAAGAATAAATTAATAATAATAATAATACTATATAAACAAACATGGGAATAACAGAAGTAGTTTGTATCTACCCAAAAATAAATAATATACTATGTAGGGTAATGTTTCAAAATAAAATTTAATTATAAAATAAATATTTATTTTTTTATTGTCAGCATGTAATACAAGCTGAAGACATTTATGTAAATATAAAATAAAAGTTTATTAACATAAATTACTAGGAAGGTAGTTAATTTACTAAGATTTTATCTTATACATTCTTGAATTTGTCTTAACAATATTAAAATAACACTGCTTTCATTAAGACTAAAAATAAATTAATTTATATAAAAAAGAATAAGCACATATATATTTCATAGTTATGTATAAATTCAAAATAATTTTAACCTCATGTTAATCACTTTATTAGTGCATATCATATAAAAATGTATTTTTAAGTTATAAAATAAATATATATCAATACTAGTTCAAATACTGGAATGTTTTTCACTTAATAGTTTTCTTTTTTTTAAATTTAGGAATGTATTACTTAATTTATTTATGATAGGTGATCTTATATTAGTTTTAGTGTAACATGTTTGATATCATATAAATTAGTGGCTCTTAATTTCCTTACCTACAGCAATACATATTAAATTAGTTTTGTGAATTAGTAGAAACAAATTACTATTAATATAAAATGATTATGCTTTGACCATATTATAAACATAAACAAATAATATGTAACAAAATTATTAATCATAATTAAATAGCTGCAGGTTGGACATAGTTAGCTGGTAGCATACCAGATTCACCTGTCCTCTGTACAACACCAGTCATCCAACCATCATCTATAGCGGCACAATTGACAATTAAATCTCCATCAGTAAATGAAACTTCATCCAGATCTTGAGCTTCATAATCGTACATAGCACGGTACACTCTCTATAAATAAAATATATTAATTTAATTATTGTTAAGTATTGGTTAAAGAAATAATGAATACATACTCCAAGGTTATAGTTTTGACTTTCAGAATTGTTAGTATACTTAACACCACCATATGATGGTTGTTTTTTAATAGGATCATAGTCAGCTATTGAACCAATGTGATTGTTGTATGAACTGTTAACTGTAAATATATTATATTATATTATATTAATAAGTTACTATATTTTTATAAAAATAATAATATGTCATGTGTTACATAATGTATGTTGTAAGCAAATGGTACATGGATAAAATACATGGCTACATAGTTATACATTATAAATAATACAAAAGTCAACTAACAGACAGTGACAACTTACTTAAATCTCCACTATCAGATGAATAAATTAAAGTAGAAGATTGACGATTTAAACATGCAGGAATTTTAGCTGAAGAGTCTTCTACTCTAGTATTTTCGACTTTTTGAGGCGCATACCTAGTGTTTCCACTGTTATAACTTTGCTGTACTTTATTTGGTTTAACACTGTTACTATGATCGATTTCTTGAATTGTTTTGTTGACAATGACATTTTTTTCTATTTAATTTGAATACATAATAATATTATAATTTAAATTAACAAAATAACTTATATTTTATTTTATTACTTTGTGGTTCATTATTATTTGCTGCATTGTTCCCATTAGATAAATGCCTGCGTTGTTCCATCTCTGCTTTCTTCAGAAAATCACCATGATACTCTGCATTACTAAATAATAATAAAACCATATGAATGATTAAAATAAATTATATTTATAACTAAAACTACCTATACTACCTTATGTTTTTTGAATTAGCTTTTATTCTCAATGTTTCTGGGTCATCTGCAACTTGCGTTAATTTTCCTTTAGTCTTTTCAAACTCGGCATGATATTGGGCCTACACAACATACAATTTAAAGATAATATAGTCTTTTTAATTTGGAACACTAAAAATTTAAAAAAAATAATCAACACTTCAATAATTACCTACTTATATTTACCTACATTATAATATAAATATAAATCAAGCGATTCTACATTTTCAGGAAAAATTAGATTCATTTAGTATTTATCTATTCAAGCACGGGTAATTAATTAATATATTTACTTTTCATTTTTAAAAACATTACTACTAAATTACTTTTAAGTAAAACATATCTATACATTATTTAAAATACATTTTTAGACAACTAATTTTAAATCACTTACAGTAAGTTGTCTATCCATAAAGATGGCATGAAATCATTGTTTTCATAAAATAATGACTGAAACATTTTAATTCCAATAACTTACATTAAAAATATTTTATGTACTTACATTTGATTGTAATCTTGTATTTTCAGCAATTCTTTTTAACTCTGGGGTTTCAGCTACAGTTGTATGTTTTGCTTTTGGAATATGTCTGAAATATGTTATGAAATTTATTAATTAATAATTTAGAATAAAGACATAAGTCATACAGTAAATAGTATCAAATACAAAGGTCATGGGATTTCTCTTATCATTTTAGGATAGTTTTTAAAGAAAAAAAAATTATGATTGTGTGACATAAAAGTATATTTTTCATTTTGAAGAAAATATATAAATCAAAAATATGTATTAATAAGTAACCATTAATTGTATATATACCAAGTGACAATTAGATAATTTTCACATTTTATTCATTTCTATGGTGATATACAAAAAGTTACTCAAAATTGGTTAGAAAATAAAAATATCTGTACCCAACCCAAAAACATATTTATGTTAATATTATGGATTTATTTAATGTTGTAGTATTTAAAAAATGTTGATTTTTTAATTAAGTACTTGTACATTTAATTAAAATGTAAGAGTTATTGTAAAAGCCAGTAGATATTAAATATTAACGATAAATTATATACATTGAATGGTATACATTATGTTATTGATAAGCTTATGAGTATTGATGAAAAAGTATTATATCAATTTTTTTTTTTTGAGGGGCACAGCCCTCAAGACTTGAATTGAATGTTTCGTCGCGTCATAGTTTGAAAAATTTGCCTGCCCCTTTGAATTATTTTTAGATCAGCTACTAATAGTCAGAATCACAAAATTATAGAAAAAGTGTTATAAATTATAATTGTTGAACTCCTTTTGTAATAAATTCTTTCATAATATTTTCCAAAAACGTCTAGTACTTAAATTTAAACGCTATTAAAAAAAAATATATATATCTATGACCGCTAATAAATATATGTTAGGTACTAAATAAAAAATATTTAGATATAAAATAATTTATTATAGGAACAGTTCTTAGTCTTGTATTATTTGAATATATTAATAGATTTGAAAGTTTTCTTTTTTAATTTATTCCTGTCATAAAACAATAGGGTTTAATGTTTTATTATAATATATAAATACCATTTTTATTTACTTATATGGACATTGTTATAGATGAATACATTTTATATACTCATTTTGTTCAATGACAAAATGAAATTTACTAAATTTTAACTAGATCAAAATATATTCACTAAATAATACTTACATGTATGTTTAAAACAATATGAATATACATTTTAAAAACATATATGCAAGAAACAGGTAGCCCATAAATAAAATTGATAGGTGGTGTGGTATCAATATTACTGCTATTAAAATATTATGTGATTATAAGATTAGTGTACTAGTGCATATTTTGATATCTTTATGACTAAAAAAATAACAGCCTTCAGTTGAATTTATTATTTATACAATAATGAACTTAGTTGTGTATTATATAATATGATCAATAAACATTTAATTTGTTTTACTGTCAATTCTTCATTTAAAAGATAAAAACAGGTTTATTAAAACCACAGATTGAGAAATATTAAGTAAGTTTAATCACATAAGAACTATTATAAGTAATATACCAATAACATTTTAATTTTAATAATTTAAGGTTCTTTTAAACCAAAAATCATCTAATTTTTAATTGTAAACTTTTTTTATAAATAAAAAGTATTGGTTAAACATTTTTTAGAAATTAAAATTTGACCACAATAATTTTGGCAAGAAAGTAGGTATGTAAGTAAATGCATTGATCAAAAATATTTTGTGTTATTGTATCTAATGCTATTTGTATGAATATACAATTATACAAGGTAACAAATTATTCAAACCTAACATACATATCATTTAACACAGCATATCTATTAAATGTATCATTTATGACTACTAATAGAAGAACACTAAATTATCAAAAAAAATTCCATATCATACTCTAAATTAATTTGGCTATGCAAATAATCGCTAACATTTAGCCAGTTAAACTGATACTAATTTAATATTAAAATATTTATTTAATATATTGTAGTTATTCCTATTTAAATAAAAAAAATTGTCAATACCTCATATTCTAAAGAACCTAATGTTAAACAATTTAGCAGTGTTGGGTAAATTACTTTTAAAAAGTAATAAAGTTACTTTACTCGTTACTTAGAGAGAAATGTAATAAAGTTACTTTACTCGTTACTCAAATAAAATTGTAATGAAATTACTTTACTTTTCAAATAGAAAAGTAACTACGTTACTTTCTCGTTACATTTTTTTTTTTATAATTTTTTTTTTAATTGCTTAGCTATTATCATTTAAAAAGCAAAGGAACTAGAAATACACTTCCTACAGAAGATATGGTATAATTTGAAAAAGATGTAACTACAGTTAATAACATAAATACATACCTAACAATATTAATTACTTTTAACTTTTAAGTTACAACTATTAAAAATAGTAGTAATAAATTGTACATATGAATATTCGGTCATTACTCATTACTAATAAAGATATTAGATAAGTTTATTATTTTCACCGTTTCTTGTAAAATGCCAAACAGCAATAATAATTATTTATAACACTGCAATGTAAATAATTCGATTTATCATTGGTTATCCATCAATATTTATTTTTAGTGCATGTACAGACGTATACCTAGTTTATGCTTAATAATAGACAATAGTTAATAAGAACATTAGGAACGTATAATAATTAACCACTTGTATAATAAATAATACCCGCATTAGACATTATATTTTTAAGTTTTTTTTTTTTGAAATTCGCAATATTTACTAAATAATTTAAAACTGTAACGCGTTATACTATGTAAATTACTCATCAAAAGTAATTTTCATTACATTTTCGTTATTTGAAAATAATTGTAATTAAATTACGTAACGCGTTACAAACAAAGTAACGGCGTTACAGTAACGCGTTACTTTCGTTACGTTACTACCCAACACTGCAATTTAGTTATTAATTATATTTTACAGATTAGGTAATGCAATTATTTAAATATTTATTAATTCAACCAGTTATACTGTTTTTCTGATAATCGTTTTATCTTTAATAACATTATAAATAAGTTTAAGGTAATGTAGGTACTTTGCTATACAATTTTATTTAGATTCCTACAAGGCTACGTTTAAAGTTTTTATTTGAATGACATATCGTCGCCTAAGAACCATCATGGCCAATCTCAGTTTTCCCAACTTTTCAGGGTGAACAAAAAACTGTTTTTTTGTTAGGAATTTTGAATGTTGGTAGACCTTTTGACATTAAATAACTCTAAAAAGTTTCATCTTATTGTCAATAATAATAATAATATTAGTAATACTGATTTCATCGAGTTTTTGGCTGCTGACGGCTCTCTATTAATAGTGGCAGTTCCGATATTTTTAGATTGGCCATGATAACAATTTTTTTTTTTGATAACAATTTTAGATAGGCCATGATCCCACCTATGATACTGCTAATAAAAATTTTAGATAGGCCATGATATACCACTGATAAAAACAATTTTAGATAGGTCATGATGACTTTTAGAATATTTATAGCAAACCTATTAGACAAACATCGAAACTAATCACTTGGTCTTATGCGTCTCGAAAATACGAATCTATAGATGTATAAAACATATATTTGAATTTTTTGAGATTGGCCATGATGGTTCTTAGGCGACGATATCACGTCCGGCATTTTATAAAGCCTTAACATCAAGCAATGATGAATAAGTCTAAGACAGACCAAATAATATGCTTGTAATTAAATTTAATAATTTATCAAATAAATCAGAAACTACACTTGAAATATATTAAAGGTTTTTCATATTATGCTTTAGTTATATTTAAGTACTTAAAAAGTATTAAATTAGTGACTTCCCCTCTTCTGGATTAAATTAAACTTATGTAATATTATGTTGAATTAAGTTTATGAGAGCTATTTTATTATTTCTGAAACATGGGTAAATACGTAAATATAAAAATGTTTATATCATAGGTAGGTACATTTACAGCTGGATTTTGAAACTTCTGTTATTTTACATTAAATATTCCGACCTTCAGTATTAGGTTAATTTTATAATTTACTTGACAATATGTCTCTATGAATAGGTTGTTAAAATATGGTTGTTTAATTGCTTAAAATAAATTTTTTTAAATAAAATAAATAATTATAACAGATTAAATAAAAACAAATTAAGAGGCGTTACATACCTAAGAATAAGTACATTCAGGTTATCTCTCAAGAAAAATATCAGCAAACAAATTGATTTAAACATTAAAGATTAAACTAATTGTAATGTTTGTACACCTAATTAGAATATAGTCTTTATCTAGGTATTTGTTTTTAACTGTTTTACAGTCCATTTGAATAGGCTATAGCTTTGTGATAATCTAATATTATAATTTATGATATGTAATGTATTATATTAATTATTTGAATATTTTATTGCAACCAAAAGTTCTACCTCCGTTAGCAGTCTATAAATAACTTAATAAGACGGGTCTATGGACAATAATAAATAAAAAAAAAAGCAGTATAAAGTACTCACGCTTCACAGTAAGGCTCTTTATTGAATCCCTTGTAATTTCTCATGTTTAATGTCATGCCACAGGACTGGCATTTGAAACATTGTTTGTGCCAAGCCTATTAAGAAAAATTTAAAGTATTTAAAAGTTTTAAGCGTGTACAAGACTTTCTGAAAGAATAGATAGAAGTGGGTTGTTAAGTATGAAACAACTAATGTACCTTATCAAGACATTTGAGCTCTTCAATGGGATATACAATTTTCTCACATCTGGCACACTTTTTGTTCATCTTCTAACCGTCGCCAAAATTACCACACAATGGCACCCGTTTAAGACGATAGTATGATAACCGTTGCTGCGGTATATTGTAGATGTATGGACTTAAAAAACTTGGTGGATTCAATTTTCTCGTTCGCAAGAAAGTACAGCGTATAGTACCTACACGGTAAACGAAAACTGTATTAAAAGAAAAATATAACGCACAAGTATAAGTATGTAAGACGTGTCAGACATGAAAGATCCTATCGGCCTGGCAAAAGTAGACGGATAGAATGATGTAGGTACTCACCAGACGAACAATATTATTCGAAAAGTTTAATATTCGATGTTCTTTTGTGCGCGTCGGACACCGCTCTTTGATGATTTCGTCTGCTAAGCGCCCGAGTACAACTGTTGAATCGACAGCGGAATACTTATTACCTACACGACATTAACAATAATATTGATAATGGAACGGTGCGCCTACAGTGTCCGTACGGCGTACAACAGCGTTGGACCAATATCGTTGTATTATTATTATTATTATTATTATAGATATAGTTGAATAATGATGATAGTAACAATATTAATAATACGATTTTCCCTTTCACTTCTCTTACACACACACACCGTGCCCGATGATCTCATCCGGGCGATCGGATGGTGGGAGGGGTGGTGGGTGGTGTCGGTGACTGCAGCAGTGCAGCGACGGCGGCGGCGACGATTGTGTGTACACATCAAAATGATCAAATACCTAAGCACAGGCCGCCGCCCGCCGACGCCCGACGATCGCGACGTTGCTGCAGTCAGTACGGGGCCGGAGCGACGAAGGTACGCTCGTTGTCGTACTGGAAACGCGTCCCGATTGGAGAGATCGGCTGCGGCGGCGGCCGAGGAGAAACGGTGTCGACCGATTCGCGTTTGGAGCTAAACATTTTTTGTCCATAAAATGACAAAATGATCGTGTCCACTGCGATCAAGTCTCCCGATGAAAATGTCAACTATTGACGTCCATTTATCAATGACATCTTGTTTTCATGTAAAATAATAGTAACCTAATATGTTATATATATTTTTGACTTTTTGTTCTATAGATTATTATATTATACAATCTTTATTCTATAGGTACCTGCAGGCTACAATACTTACTACGTTAAAGTTTAAACTATGCTGTTATTACAGTGTTGGAATGGAACACAGTTTGGAACGCGTTCATTTTAAAATATTAGAACGAGGAACGGGAAGGAGTTCCTATTTTTAAGGAACTTGAACGTAAATTTCCTTTTCTCAAACTATGAAAAAAAAAAATGAAAATATTAAACGCATGTTATTTTTAACAATATTTTCTAGAATATATTTAGTATTTTAGTGTTGGTAATCTGGATTCCACTTCTTCGGTCACTAATAAATTACCATAGATATATCATAGAACAAAAGTATAATATATCAGAAAAGGTAACGAATATAAAAATTAGTCGATTATTTTTGGTTTAAAAGTTGTCCGCCAAAAACATCATCGACAACCTGAGCAGATCGTAAGAAAAATTTAAAAGAAAGGGAACGCGTTCCTGTAATGACTCAACAATTACGATATAAAATAAAATACGACGCCTGTCGATAAATATATTAAAATCGTAAGACTAAGCAATTACCTTCCTCCAGGTGTTCGGAGGGCTCTCGAGATCGTGTTTTCGAGAATTAGATCAAATACACTATACAACACAATTGTATATAAACCATGCACAGATAATATAACAAATGCAATTAATATAAAATATTATATTAATTGCCTTACCTGATCCGCAGTCGATTATGAATTATCTTGTAAGGGTTTTAATAGACACAGAGTAATATTTTTTAAAGTATAAATCGAAATAATAAACGCACTGATTATTGCTCACATAAGGAGTCCAGAGTGTCGCTCGTTGAAATCGGTTTTTTTTTAGACTTTTTTGTGAGGTTGTTACTCGGTGAATGGTGCTCATGCACTGGTTTAAGGGATGACGAGAAGATGCTGACCAGAGAGTGGTAGGCGGCTTTATCAAAAGGTTATCGTGAGCTTGGGAACTAGATTATTCTTTGGCGGCAGATACCCTTTTTTCCTTTCCTTTTCTCTGGCGGCATCGTATAATAAAGTCACACACCCTGCGTTTTACCGTTATGAGTGCGTGCCGATATCTTAGTTGTCGTTAATAATGGTTTTATTTGATGTGACCGATTTCTACAAACGACAGTCTGGCCGTTATTTATTAAGTATTCTGTAAGATTTTAGTTTATTATAATGGTGTGTGAGCATATCATTACATCCACCCTACACTTTTTTGTGTTGTGCCCTCACAACACCGCTCGTGGGCGAGAGTGAGAGCAGTACAAATATTTAATATGAGAGAGAAAAAGTGAAAAAAAAAAAAATTGAAATTCGAAAGTTGAAAGTTGAAAGTTGAAAGTCGAAAGTTTGAATATAATTTAAACTGGACATTTATATACATATATATAAAGAAAATATTTTACTATACAATCAAAAAGGGGCAATGTGAGTAAGATTAAGGTTTACGTTTACATACTACATAGGAAGAAATTAGGAGGATAGAACTGAGACTGAAGGTTCGTACTCCCCACATTCCATTGTTGTGTTTCTATTCTTGTTATTGATCATATATATTTTATATTTTAAGTTCCCTATCTGGTGTTGTAATGATAGCTATACAATTTATTTTAAATTTAATATTTGTATACAATATATTGTCATGTTGACATATCATGACTTTTTTTTACTTTTTTACATATTTTGCTATTATTCTATATATTCTACAAAGTTTTAACTTCTAACCAATTATATTTTTGGTGCGCTTATCTAATTATACATTTTTCATATTTAATTCACTTACAATGTACTTAGTTTATAGACATTTTTTTTTTTATATTTTCTAGGCTTAACATTTATTTTCTTACTTTTACTAGCTTAACTTAGGTTAGTTATTTTACATTATTTTTTTTTTTATTAATTTATATTTTTTTTTTTACAATTTTTTTGATGCTTTTGCTGATTTAAACTAGGTTAGAAAAAATGTAGTACATTCTTTGTATTTGACTTGCTTAAACATTTTTTTTTTATATCTTATTCTAACTTAAATTAGGTTAATTTTTTTACATATTTTTCATATTTTACTTGCTTTAACATTTTTTTTTTTTTATATCTTATGCTAACTTAAATTAGGTTAAATTTTTTTTACATATTTTTCATATTTTACTTGCTTTAACATTTTTTTTTTTTTTTATACCTTGTGCTAACTTAAATTAGGTTAATTTTTTTACATATTTTTCATATTTTACTTGCTTTAACATTTATTTTTTTTTTATATTAACTTAAATTAGGTTAAATGTATTTTAGTACTTAGGTAAGTAACTTAAATTAGGTTAAATGTATTTTAGTACTTAGGTAAGTAACTTAAAGTAGGTTATTTGTATTTGTTATTTATTAATGTTATTCTGTAATTCTTATATACTAGTTATATAATACTTCGTATTTATACTAAGTACTCATTTATACATAAACTTAAATCGATTTGATTATACTAAAGCATAATTGATATATTATATTTTCCATCTTAGAATCTATAATTTATGTGTGTATTACTAAACTAGGTGTTAAAAAAAAAGGAAAAATGTTATCTAAGTTTGAGCGTGTTGTGCGATGTCTTGATTTGAATTTTTTTTTTTTATTTATCATTATTGTTAGTGTAATTATGTGTTTATATTATATAGATAAATATATTTTTTTATACTGAGAGTCTCCTATTATTTGATAACTGTTCGGATTCTTTATCATGCCTTTTAGGTTTTATTGTTTTAATCTGGCAATTGCTGGAACTATATTGTTTTTTATGTGTGTTATGCATTAAGTGGTGTGTTACGTTGGAGAATAAGCCCGCAATAAGTTTGATGCTCCACCCGAATGTCTTGTATAATAAAGTGATATTTAGCCCAGTGTTTATGAGTGTTATGATCATTTTACAAATTATGACTAATCCTAGCACGCCAGACATTATATTGCCGAAACTCGTGAACCAGCCCCATATGTTGTGTAATTCTTGATGTACTAATTTACTTATAGTCTGCTCATCTATTAGGTTTTTTATATTTATACCCTGGTTTATAACGTCATGGCCTAGTGTCTGTCGTATTAAATTTCTTTGGACCGTTTCAGATTCTTGAGGGAACATTAAATGATTTTGGAGTGCTTTCATGATATCGGGTGTGTATATGCCTGCCGTCATAAAATTATCTGAACTTTCGTATGACCAACTTAGTGCAGTGTCTGGTTTTAGTGTTTGTGGATTATTAACTTTATGGGGCTTTGGTGTTAATGAAAACCATTTTCCATTTTTTTGGAAAGCGGGTGGCAAATATTCATTGCAGTCAATCTGCGTTCCGTAAATTTGAAGTATGTGTGATTTTGGGGTCATGAACAGTGTTCTATTGTTATACAGCACCGGTAATTCGTCGAAGCATGAGGTTTGTATAGATATCTCTACATTGACAGGTTTACATTTTTGGAGATATATGATTTCCCCGTTTTTTATAGCTATATATCCGGGTCCTTCTCCTATGGTGTATGCGAATTCGGGAAGGCTATATGAAGCGAGGGTGAGTTTTTGTAAGAGAAGCTGTCTTTCAAAGTTGCATTGTTTTTTTATGAGGTCTTCGTAAAGCTTGGTCACTGTTCTTTTTATCGTGTATTCCAGATATACAAATTTTGTGTTGATATACGATAGCAGGTCAGTATTAAAGGGTTGAATTTGTTTAGGAGTGAAACTGTTTGCGTAAATTGGGTGGGATATAATTAGTAATTGATTGTTTTCAGTTTGAATGACCGGGATATTACACGCGAATGTCATAGATACTTTTTTTAGCGCAAAAGCTATGTATGTTGTTTCTACAACGTACGTATCAATTTTATAATTGTTATGGGTTTCGGAAGTGACAATGGAAGCTGGTCCGTCATATAATACGTCGTATTCTGATATACTA